CTGTAGATCAGCACCCGCCACCAAGTTCGTAGAGAACGAGGGGAGGTACAGACCAGACAGCGAGCCGGACGGAACAGCAGGACACGGGAGGACAGTGGAGGAACTGGCCACAACCGGTCCCCCAGAGGGGTCAGCCAAAGAGACTGCCACCGGCCGACTGAGCGGCGAGAGGGTGGTGCAGTCGCGAAAGAAGGAGCGGGAGGCACCCGAGTCAAGGGTGAAAGTGTGCAAGACCTGTGCCGACGCTGTACCTGAGAGAGCAGCCTCACCAGCACCTAGAGCAGCAGCCTCACCAGTACCTGGAGCAGTAGACTCACTAGTACCTAGAGCAGCAGCCTCAATGCCCGGGTCGGGCGGAACACACAGGTAACAGTCACCCTCATCACTAATAGACACAGCATACATAGCAGCAAGGATAGCATCATAGTCAAGATCAAAGATAGCAACCCCCGACTTAAGCAGAATATCCCAGCGAGGGATCTCCGAGGAGCCAGGGAACTGAGCGCGCCAGGCGTCAGTCAGGCGACCGAAGCAGCGTGGTGTGGTGTGCGGGCCTCCGCACGGCTCACCACGGCGGTCGCCGGTGCGAAGAACGTAGGTGCAGGGACCAGCACCCCCAGACCTCCCACGCCCAGCGTACCACTCACGAAGCTGCTGAGGCGACGGGGTCTCACCGGAGCGCTGCTGCTGCTGGCGCTGGCCACCGCCAGGGCCTCCCCGCTGCCCACCACCACCCCCGCCACTCCCACCTCCTCCGCCGCCACCGCTACCTCCACCCCCACTCCCGCTGCCTCCGCCGCCTCCACCTCCACCGCCGCCGCCTGAGCCCCCAGTCCCGCCACCACTCCCACCTCCACCGCCACCCCCTCCTCCTCCTCCACCACCACTGCCGCCGCCCCCACCGCCCCCTCCACCCCCCTTGCCCCACTTGCCCTTGCCGTTGCGGCGCTTGCCACTAGGGGCAGACGCAGCGCCGACCGACTCCGTGCCAACGAGGTCGACAGCAGCAGCAGAGGCAACAGAGGGCAGGAGGGGAGAGGGGGAGCACCCCTCAAAGAAAGGGGCACGGGGGTCACCACGAGAGGCTCCTACAGCAACTATACTCTTCTCAGCTGCAAGGAGGCGCTCCTCGAGGAGGTCAACAGTGAGTGTGGTGGGGCAAAGCGAGAGGAAGTGGTCCCTGACCGAGCAAAGGGAGTCAGGGAGCCGGGTAACGAGGTAGTAGAGAGTGATGTACATAGGGGGGGGGGTTCTTGGCGCAGAACTCGGTAGGAAGCGCAGCTCGGTAGCGGGTGTCACTAGTGCGGAGGTGGGTAATGAGGTCAGCGACTGTGGCAAAAGCGGCTAGGTCAGGGAACAGGTACGGCAGCATGAGGCGGCTAAGGGCAGCAGTGGCAGGGGAGGAGTAGCGCGCAACAACAGCAGTGTACAGGGTGCTAGCACTCTTGTACTGACTAAAGTGCGCGCGCTCAGAGGACGGCAGGTGACTACGCACAGTAAGGCGAGCAGAAGCATCGCGTGTGGTCCAGACAGAGCGAACAGTGCTAGTAGCATCAGCAGCAGGGGCAGGGGAGGCACCAGACGTGAGATCGAACAGTGAGAGGCCGTCTTTGCTATCGCACTGCAGGAACAGCTGCAGATCATCGATCCAGACTTCAAAGTCTACCGCTCGACCCTCAGCATCAAAGGAAAGAACGTTGGGACTAGTCATGACAGCAGCAGCAGCAGGCTAGCAGCAGCAGCAGCAGAAGCAGGCTAGCAGAAGCAGGCTAGCAGGAGGGGCGCGGCTCGGCTGTGCGCTTACCAGGGGCGGGTGGGTAAGAACCCGCAAGTGGTGGGGCAGGGCCGAGGTGCGTCGGTAGGAGCAGGGCCGCAACAGGGCGGCAGGGCAGGGCCGCGACTCGGCTGCAGTGCAGGGCCGGGACGGCTGGGGCGGCTGTCACGGTAGCGGCGGCGGCGGCTGTCTCAGCAGTAGCCGCGGCAGCTGTCACAGCAGGAGCGGCGGCGGCTTGTGACGACAGCAGCGGCGGCGGCCGCCACGGCAGCAGCGGCGGCGGCGATCACGGCAGCAGCGGAAGCGGCAGCGGCAGCACGCGCGACTGCAGTTGCTGCTGGGGCGGCGGCGACAGGGCGGCTGGGCGGCTGTGGCGGGTCGCGAAGATCTGCGGAGGGGCCGTGAAGGGGGGGGCGCGAAGGGCCGCGAAGTGCCGCGAAGAGGCCGCGAAGGGCCGAGAGGGGGCCGCGGAGGGCCGCAAAGGGGCCGCTAAGGGCCGAGAGGGGGGCCGCAAAGGGCCGCGAAGGGGGCCGCGAAGGCCGCGAAGGGGCCGCGAAGGGCCGTGAGGGGGGCCGCGAAGGGCCGCGAAAGGGGCCGCGAAGGCCGCGAAGGGGCCGCGAAGGGCCGTGAGGGGGCCGCGAAGGGCCTTAAGAGGGGCCGCGAGGGGCCGCTAAGGAGTCGCGACGGGGACCGCTAAGGGGCGGGGGGGCCGCGAAGTTTTGGGGCAGGACGCGAAGCGCGTTTAGGGCAGGAAATAAAAATTTCGAATGGTGGGCCCAAGGAAGAAACCGTCCCACGAGGGAACCAGCTCTATACCATGTGAAGAAATGAGGAATGAAATGAACTAGGAAATGTTGTGTACAAATAGGAAACCCTAGAAACTTGTACCCCTTAGTGTCTACCCCACTATAGCCTACACAGACTAAGTCATATATATCTGACAACTCTGTGAAATTCAGACTTTTTATGGCCTCAACTCTGTGAAAATCAGATTAATTTTTAAGCTGACTCTGAAATGTCATACTTTTTCGGGAGTGTACTCTGATGAATTCAGAGTACAAACGAGTACGGACTCTGATTTATTTTACCTGTGCGCCGACACCCAGGATTAGCGGGGGGTACATTGTACCTGTCATGATCTTTGGGCGACGCCGCCCTGCGGCCCGATTTTTCCCTCGTACAGCTGGATGTATCACCCGCCCTGCGGTGCTTTGTTCCCCTCCGTGTAGGCTCCAGCTCACACCCTCCTTGAGCACTGATTGGTGCGCTTGGCAGCTTTTGTCTGCCATCACGAACTCCGCCACCACCCCTGTCCAAGATGCAGCAGCAGTTGCCACCCACGTAAATGTGATGGCAAGCAGACAGTGCCAACAAGACCTGTTGGCACACACCCAGAGCATTTGATTGGTCCTTTAGGCAGCATCGTGCGTGTACCACGATGCTACAACATCCACTCCACACACCAAACATTCCTCACAGCATTGCACGGCAGACGCGCCTCGTTGTTGCCGTGCATGCTAGGCAACCACCCACCCAACTCATGTATGGCCCAGAGTGTGTTATATGGCCTTCTTCTACGAGCTAGGGTTTCATCCACACCCTCAGCTCAGCTTCAACTCACTGGGCCCATCCAGTGCCCTGTTCAGCAGCCTCTTTGTCATCTCGTTCCTGCTCGGCAGGCTCTCTTTCATATCCCCGCCATGGCTCTGCCCGACAATCCCGCTACCTGCGATGACGACGACCCTGATTCACAGCCTGCTCTAACAGGTTTAGTTTTTTTTTCTCAGTCATCTTGCACTCGAGAAGGCAGCACGCGCCGAGCCCGATTCTATCATCTCCCAAAAAGAACCTTCAGCACCCGCGATCTCTAATCCCGACCCTGTGGCAGAGACAGCTGCGGAACCAAACGTCGGTTCGGCATCGCACCATCCCTCTGAGACCACGGCGCGAACCATCGGGCTCAAGCAGCCGACCTTGAGCTTCGCCAAGCCTTCATCCTCATCTGCCGACGTCAACAACTCTCCCGGGTCGTCTGAGCGTCCGCGTCCTCGCCTCACCATAAACATGGCCGAGCTCATTGAAGGACTCTACGACGATGCAGTTGACAAGTTCAAGAATCAATGGCAAGCACGCTTCCCCTGGCTTCAAATCATTAAAACCACCTCGGGTTTGCCTGCCTTCAAGTGTACTATTTGTGCAGCTCATGCTGGCGACGGTGGCAAGTGCGGGAGACGCGGGAAAGGCGCCACTGACTTGCAGACCCAGTCCTTTCGTAAGCACGCGGGCACGTCGAAGCACAAGCTGGCGATGGCGAGACAAACTGCTGTGCAGGAGTGCGATGCAAGGCAACTGCAGATTGACCAGCACCGCGCTGCAGTGGACGGAGAGCAGTCCCGAGTCGTCGCCCTTCTCGACTCATTGCTGTTCATCAGCAGATCCGACGCGCCCATGGGGATGTGGGTGAAGCTGGTGCGTTACCTGGCGGAGAAGGGCGTTCCCGGCTTCCCGAAGAAGGGGTACGGCACCTACTACACCACATGAGTGCAACTGCCGGTAGCTAATTAATACACATCGGTAGGTCAATGATTTAGTTCTTTACTAAAGAATGTTCCCTGTTGTTTCCGTGTGCAGATACGGCTTCGGGGAGCTGACGCAAGCGACTGCAACATGGCTCCAGACAACCCAGCTGGAGCACGTGCTGGCGTCGCCGTTCGTCGGCATCGCGATTGACGAGAGCACGGATAGGTGTAGCGGGAAGCACCTGATCCTCTTCGTGACGTTCATCCGTGACAACAAGCTTGTCACAGAGTTCATGACGTTAATCACAGGGGAAAAGGCCGACGCCGCTTCTCTTCTGAGTGTTCTGCTGTCACATCTGCAGGCAGTCGGGATCGACCTTCAGCGCATCGCGGGAATCAGCACCGATGGTGCCAACGTCATGATGGGCAGCAAGTCTGGCCTCACCACACGCCTCCGCCTGCGCATCCCCCATCTGGTGTCATCCCACTGTATCGCGCACAGGTATGTATGTTTTTTAGTAAACTTGCCGTGCCTTGTTTAAGATTGTTGACTTTCCTGGTGTACTAATGCTTATTCTTTGTTGTACAGGGAGGCACTGGCGGCTAAAACAGCCGCCGAGAAGATTCCTGCGTTCAATGTCATTGACATGGTGATCCGTCGGGTGGCAGAGCATCTCGGCCGTTCAGGGCCATGGCACCAACGGTTCATGGGGCTCCAGGAGGTTTTCACGTCCACTTCTCTGGAGCTCCAAGGCATTCATTCCGTCCGCTGGCTTTCACGGGGCGACGCAGTGCTCAGGCTTGTCGCTGTGCTTCCGGCTCTCATCGTGATGCTGAAGGAGTGGGACGCCAAGCTGTATGCTCTTGTGACAAGTTACAAATTTCAGTTCCTTCTTTTCTTCATTGCGGATGTGCTTGAGCAGCTCAACATCCTGAACAGGGCGTTCCAGCACAAGGAAGTGAGTTTCCCGCATGCTCACCTCCGTCATCTTTGTTTTGTGCGGTGGGCATTCTGCTATAATCCTGCGTGTGAAGCTTTAACAGCCACTAACTACCGTCTGTCTTGTTTCTGTCCAGCTTGACTATGCCAGCGTGCATGCGCAGATCAAGCGCACAATGTCGCACATCGAGAGCCGTTACGTTGATTGCGGCGACGACTTCGATGGCGGCGTGAGCGAGCTGTTGTCCCCCTTCATCGCGCGCCATGGGCCAGGAGGAAACCGGGAGGTGAAGGTTGAAGGGGTTGACTCGGACGGCCGTCCTGCACGCTTCACCTTCAGGCTGCATGAGGACGAGCTGGAGGAGTTTGTGTCAGAATGAACAAGAGTGTTTGAACTAGAAAGGTTGGGGATACAAGTAGGAAACCCTAGAGTAATGTACCCCCTAAAGGCTAACCCACTATAGCCTACACAGCAGTAACATATATAATGTTTGACACACCCCCATAGGCGAAGTGGGGGAGAGCAAGGGGTCACAAGACCAGTCAGAGCAAAGCAAAGCAAAACAAGCTCAGGGTGGATCTCAAGGATACCACACAAATTCCGAGCACAAGCAAGTGGTCACAAGACCAGTTCACATGCAGTTTGATAATATAACAAGAGGTACAGTTATCACAACCTAGCAAGTGTAAGCATGCAGGTATATATATAGAGATCACAGTACAAGCAGAGTCAAGAAGTGAGCAAGTGAGGGACAGTAGGCACAAGGCCTAGAACAGTACAGAAACGCTGATGATCACAAGGCGGAAGCGCCTTGGTGAACACATCAGCAGTGTTGGCCCGAGTGGCCACGTACGAAAGACGAAGCTGACCACGCTGCTGCAGCTCTCGAGCAAGGAAGTAGCGCAGAGCGATGTGCTTCGTTATGTGCTCCAGTCTGTGCTCCTGACACAAGGCAAGGGCGGCCTTGTTGTCGACGTACAGCACTGGAGGAGAACGAGGCCGCTCTCCCAGGTCGGTCAGCAGGTAGGTGAGCCAGCGTAACTCCTGTGCAGCCATGGCTGTGGCGTAGATCTCAGCCTCACAACTGGAACTGAGAACTGAAGACGAGCGAGTAGAACGCCAAGAAACTGAACCACAGCCAAGGCTGAAGGTGTAACCCTGAGACGACCGCTGCGTAGCCTGGTCGTCAGCCCAAGAAGCGTCTGAGTGCCCAGTGAGGACAACGTCTCTCCGTCCTCCAAGCACAAGCCCCATGCCCGACGAACTGCACAAGTAGCGCAACACCCTCTTAGCGGCATCCATGTGCTCCTTCCGGTGACGGCCAGGAGCGACATAGCGTGCTAGGATGCTAAGAGGGTATGCAAGGTCAGGTCGAGTGCAGGTCATCAGGTACATGAGGCAGCCCAAAAGCTCTGGATACGGGCCACTCGGCTCTACGGACTCATTTGAAGGCAGAGCTGAGAGCGAGTGACCGGTAGGCAGAGGAGTGGGCTGAGGCGAGGAGTACGTGAAGCGGAAGCGCTGAAGGACCTGCTGCACCATGTGTGACTGAGTCAAGGTGATGGTGCGCTGTGCTCTGTCCCGGGTGATCCGCAAGCCAAGATAGCTTGTCAGCTCACCCAGGTCTGTGCACGTGTGTCTCTTTTGCAGCTCCGACTTCACGTGGGCGAGTGCCTCAGTGTCAGCAGTAGCAAAGACCAAGTCGTCTACGTACACGAGAACGTAGAACGGCGGCAGAGTGGTGTCGGTGCGTAGAAACAGCGACGGGTCAGCAGTAGAAGGAGCAAACCCAAGAGCAGCAAGAGTCGTCCTCAGTGTGTCGTGCCACTCACGGGCTGCCTGGCGGAGACCGTAGACTGGCCGCCGGAGGCTCCACTGGGTACCAGCAGGGAACGACCCAGTGAAGCCAGGTGGGCGGCGCAGCCAGATCTCCTCGTGCAGGCTGCCCTGTAGGAAAGCAGTGCTGAAGTCAAGAGAGTGGAGCTCGTAGTCACGCTGAGCGGCGACGTGCAGCAGAACCCGAAGAGTGGTCATCTTCGGGGTCGGGGAGAAGGTCTGGAAGAAGTCAACTCCCTCTCGCTGACTGAAGCCTCGTGCAACGTAACGCGCCTTGAAGACAGGCGGAGAACCCGGCGGCCGCTTCACCCTGAAAATCCACATGCCACTGACGATGTTCGCCCCAGGTGGGGGAACCTCATCGACGTAGGTGCCTGTGGACTTCCAGGAAGCCATCTCTGCGTCCATGGCTGTCTGCCACTGAGAGGAGTAGGGACCCTCCATCGCCTCTGCGTAAGAGCGTGGGGTCGGGATGTCTGGTGCATCCGGGTCTCCCTCAGGGGCAATCAGCATGGACACGAGATGAGGTAAAGCAGTGGCAAAGCACTCAAACTCCTCCTGTCTGTCCTCAAGGACGTCCGTGCCAAGAGCACACTCACCCCCGACGGACGGAGGACAGACAGACTCAGACTCAGCAACAAGGCTAGCGGCGTAGTCTAGACGACAGGCGGCAGCAAAGTCAACAAGCTCAGCGACAAGAGCAGACGCAGCAGAGGACTCAAAGGTAGGGTCAGTGACAACAGTGGCGAGGAAACGCGTGACACTAGGACTGGCAGCACGAAGGGAGTCAGACGGTGGGCCAGCAACGGCAGGAAGAGAGGACGCAGGAGGAGACGGCAGAGGGACACGCTGTGGAGCAGTGGAAGGACGCAGGGTCATATAGTGAGTGCCAAGGATAGGAGGAGGACGCTGACGCGGAGCACGACGACCAGTGCGGACAGCTCGGACAGGCGACTCTGGACGCGACTCAGACGACTCTGGACGAGACTCAGGCGACGGAGGACGAGACTCAGGCTCACGACGCTCCGTAAGACTACTCGTCGGCGCAGTGTAAGGAGAAGGACCAGGCAGCGGAGAGGCAAGCAGTAACTGTGACTGCGACTGGACAGGTGGTGGACTCAGGAGGGGAGGAGAAGGACCAGTGGAGGGCGGGAGGCCAAGAACCTGCTGAAGGAGCGGAACGTAGTACGGTCGCGGCCGCTCAGCACCTCCTGAACCAGCAGAGACAGCACCAGCACCCTCAGCCCCAGGGTCTCCAGCGACAACTCCCTCAGCACCACCAGTAACCCCAGCAGCTCCAGTACCTCCAGCTCCAACCCCCGCAGCAGCTCCAGTCCCAGCAGCTCCAGTACCTCCAGTACGAGCACCTCCAGTACCAGCGGCTCCAGCAGCTCCAGCACCAGCAGCACCTCCAGCAGCACCTGCACCAGTAGCACCTCCAGTAGTACCAGCAGCACCTCCAGCAGCTCCAGCACCAGCAGCACCTCCAGCACCAGCAGCAGCTCCAGCTCCAGGGTCCGCTGCACCAGCACCAGCAGCACCTCCAGCAGCAGCAGTGCCTCCAGCAGCTCCAGCACCAGCAGCACCTCCAGCAGCGCCAGCAGCACCACCAGCAGCTCCTGCGCCAGTAGCACCAGCACCAGCACCAGCTCCAGCTCCAGGGTCCGCGACACCAGTAGCGCCACTCCGGAGACTGCAGCGCCGAGCGTACCACTCTCGGAGCCGCTGGGGAGAGGGCGGCTCCCGCCTAGGAGGGGAACCACGAGCACCAGCTCCAGCAGCACCCCTAGCTCCAGAAGCGCCCCTCCTGAGGCTGCAGTACTGCAAGTACCACTCCCGCAGCTGCTGGGAGGAGGGAGCGCCTCCAGGTGCAGCACGGTCAGTCGCAGCACCCTCTGGCTCAGCACCCTCAGACGTAGCACTCTCAGGCTCAGCACCCCCAGACTCAGCACCCCCAGACTCAGCACCCCCAGACTCCGTACCCGCAGGCTCCGCACCCCCAGGCTCAGCACCCCCAGGCTCCGCACCCCAGACTCCGCACCCCCAGGCTCCGCACGCTCAGGCTCAGCACCCCTAGCAGGACGAGAGTCGACAGCTACCTCGACAGGCTCAACCGGGTCTACCTGGGACACACCTGAGGGAGCGGCACCCTGAGGGGGAAGGGGGTCTACCACAGCAGCACCTGGTGCGAGGAAGAGAGGCGGGGGGGGGAGCGGGGCAGTGCGGTAGGGGAAGAGGCGGTAGTAGGGGACCGACTCGTCGAAAGTGACGTCCTGAGAGGGCAGGACACGACGCGAGGTGGCGTGGTAAAACTGCCAACCAGACGCGTCCGGGACAAAGCCAAGGAAGACACAAGGAACAGCGTGAGAGGAGAGCTTGTCCGCGGACGTATCGCGGACAAAAGCTCGAGATCCCCAGACCCGGAAACGCGACGCATCGCCAACCTCTCCCGTCCAACGCAGTGTCGGTGAAGTCTCCGGAACGGAGACACGGGGCCAGAGGTTGAGCTGATGCGCAGCGTATCGGACCGCAAACGGCCACAGAAAGTGGGGAGCAGCCGCATGGATCAAGGAGGTACGAGCGACCTCCATGACCAAGCCAATGCGGCGCTCAGCAACCCCTATTCTGCTGTGGAGAGGCCGGAAGCGTGAACGACTGCTCAATGCCCTCCACCTGACAGAAGGCCCTCAAGAGGTCGGAGGAAAACTCCCCACCTCTGTCAGAGTGCACACGCAGGACAGGAAAGTCCGAGTGGAACCTCTCGCTGAGCTGGAGACGGGCAGCGCGGATCCAAGGGATCAAAACATCAGGGACTTCACCCTTGGTGCGTAAGGGGAAGACCGTGGTGTAGCGCGAGTAGTCGTCAACAACTATCAAGAAGTACCTCTCTTGACCCTGTCCACGGACGCGGGCTGGGCCCCACACGTCCATGTGGAGCGTCTGCAAGGGAGCAGTCGTCGGGGGAAACGAGGAGGAGTGAGGAGCGGCGCGCTGCCGCCCCTCGACACAGGGAAGACAGGGAGGAGCAGGTGAGGGTGGGAGGGGAGGGAGAACCCTGGGAAGACCAGAGACAAGGTACCGGGAGTGCATGCCACGAAGGTGCTGCACTGACGGGTGACCAAGGCGGTGGTGCCAGAGGACAGTCTCGTGTGCCAGAGAGCGACACGAGCAGGGGGCAGACAGCTGACCTGACGCAGACGCAGACGCAGCAACCTGAGGGGACTCAGTGGTCAGTGTGTACAGGTCCGACCCCGGCTGCCGAGTGAAGGTAGCCAGGTGGCGACCCGTCCGAGCACACGTGTAGTGTGTCACGCGCTCGTAGGCAGGGGTGAACTGGTGGACACCCCCGTCCTGGAGCGCACGCCCCGCCACCAAGTTCGTAGAGAACGAGGGGAGGTAGAGACCTGACAGCGTGCCCGACGGAACTGCAGGACAAGGGAGGACAGTGGAGGAGGTCGCAATGACCGGACCCCCAGAGGGGTCAGCGAGGGAGACTGCAACTGGCCGAGCAAGCTGCTCAAGGGCAGTGTGGTCACGAAAGAA